ATAACAGGCACTCAAACTCAGTCTGATTAAAAGCTGAGCTGGAGCTTATCTGAACTGAGACATAGTAGAGAGATATGGCTATAATAACAAAATGTTTCTTTTCAGGGAAAATTAATGGATGCTTGGTTAAGTGTGAAAAACCTGAGAGAAAAGGATCTAATAATACTGGGGTCTACTTACAAATATATTCTTATTTGGGGGGATATTAACAACTTTAATAAGGTATAAGTCACATACCAGACAATTCACCCATTTAAAGTATGCACATCAGTGGTTTTTAGTATATTCACAGAGTTGTGTAACCTTCACCACAATCAATTTTAGAACATTTTCATCATCCCCCAAATGAAACCCTGTGCTGATTAGCAGTCACTTTCCATTCCCCCTTCTCCCAGCTCCTAGCAATCACTGATCTACTTTTTATCTTTTTGGATTTGCCTATTCTGGACATTTCATCTAAATGGAATCAGAAATATATGGACTTTTGTGTCTGGCTTCTTTCACTTGGCATACTGTTTTCTAGGTTCATCCATGCTGTAGCATGATTAGTATTTAATTCCTTTTTATGGCTGGATAATATTTTATCGAATGGATATATTCACATTTGGTATCCATTCATTAGGTGATAGACATTTGGTTTTTGGCTATAATGAATAATGCTGTAATGAACAGTCATATTTAAGTTTTTGTGTGAAAATATGTTTTCATTTCTCTTGGCTATGTACCTAGGAGTGGAATTGCTGGGTCATATGGTAACTGTGTTTAACTTTTGAGGAATTGCCAGACTGTTCCTCAGCAATGGCACCATTTTACATTCATACCAGCAATGCATGAGGGTTTCAACTTCTCTATATCCTCATCAGCATTTGTTATTGTCTGTTTTTTGATTATAGTGGGTGCGAAGTGGTAACTTACTGTGGTTTTAATCTTTGTTACTCTGATGGCTAGTGGCATTGGACACCTTTCCATGTGCTTATTGGCCATTTGTATATATCTTTGGAAAAATGTTCAGATCCTTTCCTATTTTTATATTGGGTTATCATTTTATCGTTGAGTTGTAAGAGTCTTTATGTAAATATATTCTTAAATAGATCTTTTAAAATTTTTTATTCTATGGCATCTTTATCTTTAACATACCCTAAAACTCTATGACCTGGGCACCTTGTTGCCCTGCTTCATTTATTCAGTCAGTATTTACTGACCATCTATGTGTGGAAAGTATTGTGCTCCACGCTCTCAAGTATATAAAATGAATAAAATATTCCCTGCTTCAAGGATTACAGAACAAAGCAGGAAGGGAAGTACCATAGCGATAAATTTCTATGGGTGTTCAGAGGAAGAAGAGATGACTTTGAGATTGAAGAATCAAGGAAAACAACCTGAAGGAGGTGGCATTTTAAGTGGCTTTTGCAGGATGCAAAAGATTTAAATACAAGAAGATTAGGGGAAGAAGCTGAGTAAAGATCTTGAGGTTGGACTGTGTGTTCTCTCTGGAATGGTGACTAGTCTAGTTTAACTTTTAGGGCTGAATTTTCAGAGATTAAAAAGAGGGAATACTAGGAACACAGACCATAAAGGTAGTTGGGACCACGTGTTGGTTCTGAATACAGTAGCAGTCTTGATAGTCTTTTTTTTTTTTATTTTTTTTTATCAGTGATTGGTGAGCCCCCAGATGTTTGAGATTAGGATGGATTGACATACTCAGACCGGTGCCTTGGAAGACTGAGTTTACAGAGGTGTGTGCGAAGAGTGGGGATTGGGGGAGTGATTGAAAGTAGCTCTGCTCTGTTTCTATCTTGGAGACTGGCATGTGCATTAGAAGGCCTGCAGTTAAGAAACGCCTGTGGAATTGTTTAATCTCGTGATTTTCAAGTTTATTTTACCGTGGATGGACCTTTTCTTTTTTAAAATCCGAGGTACATATTTTGCTACCTTAGTTTAATATTATACAAGTAATAATTTCTTAGTAAATGTTGGTTGGTTACTTGATCACTTATTTATAGGACTGTGGATCGTAAATTGGATTGCAAGGGTTGAAGGAATCTTCAATATTAGCTAGTCCATCCCTTCATTGTATAGAGGCCTTAGAGGAGAAGCGTGTGCTCGTTTTTGCCCAGTCCTAAATAAAGGGAGAGTGTCCTGCAAGTGTCTTGACGCCAGAAAAAATGTTCTCTGTTTTACTAAAAATAATTTTAATCCTCCTTTGCTACATACACAATAACAAGAAATTCTGCTCTACAATACAAGTGTTGGGCGATGGTCCTTAAGGGTGGAAGCCCAAAGATGAATGAAGGCATTTGGCAGACCAGACCTGTGTCTGCCCTTCAAATTGTGGATTCTTTTCCTTCTACCCATAGTTTCTTTGCTCTAAGCAATATGTGGGCCTTGCACCGTGTTTAAGAAGAGGGGGTGTTAGTCTGATAGGCAGGGGGCATGGATTCTTTCCTACGGTTAACCTTTTAACTGTGTGACCCCAAGTAGGTCTCTCCGTGTTCGGGGCACAGATTTCTTATTCCTTCAGCCTTTATAATTAGTGATCTGATTCTGTGATCCACAGCCTTACAACTGATCAAGCAAGCACCCAACATTTACTAAGAAATTATTACTTTCGTAATATTGAACTAAGGCAGCAAAACCCAAAGTATGCTTGAGGGAATCTGTGTGTACAGGCCCCTTCCAGCGGCAGCAGCATGCGTGTCCTATCATCTCTAGAGGATCTGGTAGTTACGTCATGGCCCCTAAGGGAGGACCACCTGTGGTTCCCCTATGGGTCCATTATACCCCAGGTTAGGAATCTCCAGTGTTTCTAAAGGATTCCTGTGGATTTTCTTCTTTGTATGTTAGACATCAGTGATTCAGTCTTAAAGATAAGCAGTGCATCAATTTGATGAACTTGAAATGCAAACAAGCCCAAGAACTTACACTAAATGGATATTGGGGAGTGGTGCAGGAATGTTGTTCTTACCCCAAGAGTTTTGCTTTTCACGTAACACTGTATGCTGTGTTAAGTGACTCTTCCTTTTTTTGGAGTGATTTGAATTTGTTGCTGTGGTGGTGGTTTTCCATGGCAACTGCTGTTGACACACATCTGGCAACTGATGAAATGGCTTCCAAAGCCCAGGGGTCCACACAGAGTCTGAGTACTCCTCACCCTACTAGTCCTGCCAGAGATGTGGAGAAACACTGGGTGGAGGGCCTGGTGGCTCTGCTGGGTTGACGAGGTTTGATTTGCAGTGGCTGAGTTCTTGGGGGTATCATCAGGGCTTCTCCAAAAGTTAGCTGGGCTACTTGACACTTTGCACTGGAAATTCCTTCTGTCCTCCCTGTGGAGGAGGCAAATGTAAGAATGAGGGGCATATTTAGAAAGAATATTTTCTAACCTATCAAGGTGTAAATATTAGCAGTGTTTTATTTGCTTGTTCATTTGTTTAAACAAAAAATTACTAAATTGAAAGTAGAGGTCAGCCAAAATCCTACTGAATTTCTGAGTGTAGTAGGCCAGCATAAGGCCTGTTTAAGGTATCTCATTTAAAGTGGAAAGTTCCAGTTTGCACTGGGGCCAAAATCCCTAAAAGAAATCCTTATTGGAGGTGTATTATGGGTCACTGTATATTTGCTAGTTTATATGTTGGTGACTAAATTGGCAAATTTTTTATTTTTCCTGGTAAACAGTCAGAAGGTTTTTTCCTCACTCCTTTCCCTCACAAAATCGTATTTGTCATACGTGTATGAAGTAAACGACTGTTAAAACTGCCCACACATCTGTGGTGATATGAAAATGAGCGGTGGCAAACAAAGATTCCCTTTCTTAGGTACCACAAGGCCTCGGATGAACTTGACTTTACCCTGATATCACTCTCAAATTGTGACCAAGTGGAAACAAAATTGGTCAGGCCTTAGAGACCAAGACGAATAGCACAACAAAAGGGTTATTCTTTGTGAAAAATTTAGATCCCCCTACCCTCCTATGACTTAGAAAACTTAAACGTTTTCTCTTAAAGTAGTTATTACTCTTGTTTATAAATTTAGATCGTATATAACCTGTATTATATAAGCATATAAAGGGTTATACTTATTTTTTATTCACGAGGCACCAAGTTATCACCTAGCACAAAGCCTTTTAAAAAAGGGAATGAAAAGCATCAAGATGTTGAATAAGATCAAAATGTGAACTCTAATTTGAGTGTCTGACTTTGAAGAATGTTTTGAGAACTGTACCTGTGTATTAAGCTCATGATAAATTTTATGCAGACTGTTGATAATCATTTTTAACATGCCATTTTTAGTGTCCTCTAAGAATAAAATTTCCCAATAAACAATGCATTTTTATTTCTTTTAACTTTTTGTGCAGATATGAATTATTAACCAATAAATTTTCCTCATTCTCAAAAAAAAAGAAGACAGCATACCAAAAATATAATAAAAATGTAACAAGCAAGAAAAGTGAGTTTGGCATGGTTGTTCTAATGAACCCTGTGTTAGGTCATTCTCTTATAGGTATGGAGTCAAATACCCATAAATCAAGAGACATTTCATGTTTTAAATTAACTTTTGAGATAGTTTATGGTCAATATTTTTTCCCTGTGTTACTTTATTGCAACTTTTAATTTTAAACTCTACCCTAAAGAGTTTTTGAAGAAATAGTAATTACGTGAGGTAATGGAGGTGTTGGCTAACTCTATGGTGGTAAAGGTTTTGCAGTATATAAGTGTACCAAATCAACACGTTGTACACCTTAAACTTACATAATGTTATATGTCAGTTAAATCTCAATAAAACTGGGGGGAAAAAGAGTTATTGTGTTAAAAAACCACATTTATGTAAAATGTCTCATGCTTGGCAGCTCACCGTATGCTCGGACTGCGTTCTGAGAATGGCAGGCAGCGTGTTACGTTGCCAAAAACTTTCCACTGGGAGTAGTTTTGCTAGGGCGGGGAGAGCCAGAGGCTGAGGTGGGGACATTTCTCCTGCTTGGTGACTACATCATTTTTCTTTCATAGGTGAAGCTGCTCTCAGGGGAGAACCCAGGATGCAGACCATCCCTGTGGCATCTGCCCTCACCAGTCACCGCACAGGCCCCCCACCCATCAGCCCCAGCAAGAGGAAGTTCAGCATGGAACAAGGGGATGACGACCTGGACTGTGAAAATGACCATGCTTCCAAGATAAGTCGCATCTTCAACCCTCATCTGTAAGTTCTCTGGTTTTGAATGCTGTCTCTCTTGCAACTTTGTATCAACAGTGAAGTGATGAATGGTGCTCATCTGCCTGGAGTGGGTATTAAACCGATTTTAATGACTCACGAAGAGACCTCTTATTTCCTTCTGGCTTACTTGTATGATCGTTCGCGTGTTTTCCCCCTGGACATTAATGTTCCCTTAGAGCTTTTTGGGTTGGTTGTCCAAAACATTACCTTTTCTTGCTTGTACCACTGATGGTTGTTAGGAGAATCAGCCTTTGGTGAATGTCTTTATATACTAGGAACATAAAGGGAAGGTTATCATCTGAGTAAACTTCGGTAAAATATTTTGCTTGAAAGTCTAGAATTGTAAATACACACTAGAAAGTATTCTCACTGTGTGTGTTCACGATATAAACTTGAGACCTTCCCAAAATGGGAGTGATGGCGTTTTGTATTTATGATGAGGTGCTGTCCATCAAATCTGGTGTGTGAGCCTGTTGTAGCCATTGGAGAACCAGTCTTGGGGCCAGGAGAGCTGGGTGCTAGTCCTTGATCTGTCACTAACACTCGGCAATAACAATTATGACATGTGTTGCTGTAACTCTGGGCCTCAGTTTCCTTATTTGTGAAATGAAGGGGTTGAAACGAAAGCTGTCTGAATCTGTGCAACATTATCACGTTTATATTTGGAAAACAGCTTCCCCTTTGCACTCTCTTCTGACATACACGTGCCTCGTGAAGGGAGTGGGGTGGTGCTTTTTCACACGTTGTCAGGAATTGGGAGATACCCAGCCAGCTGCTGAGAGAGTCTGCTCTGGCAATTGTGTAACCAGGTGGTATGATCAGAGTCTGGGGTGTTGGCAGAGGCGGGGAGGTACCTCTGGTTATTGGAAAGAGTCTCTGTGTGTATCCAGGTACTACCCCCCGCTTCCCATGAATGAATTAATATTATGTAATTATTGAAGATGCTCAGCTTCCCCGGTTCTGACTTCCGAGGATGCTGCTGGTTCTGGCAGGGATGTGAGGCTTGAAGAGTTCCTGTTTCCTCATTGGTGGAGGGGACCTTGCGCAGTTAGAGGTGGC